GGGCAGGAGCTTCTGTCTGGCGGGTCGGGGGCGGGGCTTGGAGGTATGGAGGCCAATGAACCTGGGCCGGTGTCCAGCAATATGGAGAGCTCCAACCCCAGCTGGCCACTCTCTTCCTGGGCCACTCTCTTCCACAGGACCATTAAGGGAGGAGATGACGGAACACACCAAGTGTCTAAGTTTTAACGCTTTATTGATAAAATAATAAAACAACAGCGGAGAGTGATGGGTGCTTCCCAGGAGGTATGGAGGCCAATGAACCTGGGCCGGTGTCCAGCAATATGGAGAGCTCCAACCCCAGCTGGCCACTCTCTTCCTGGGCCACTCTCTTCCACAGGACCATTAAGGGAGGAGATGACGGAACACACCAAGTGTCTAAGTTTTAACGCTTTATTGATAAAATAATAAAACAACAGCGGAGAGTGATGGGTGCTTCCCACGTCACTCAGAGGAAGGAAGAAAGCGTTCGTGCCCTGAGCCCTAACCCGCTTTCATACTCACACGCTCACTGCCCGAGGCTGGCCAGGCCTGGGTGTAACGTAAGAAGAGGGGGAAGGGAGTTCGGTCCTATGCGCACAGGTCATCCAGGGTCCGCTGTGATCTCTCAATTGCTCCAGCTCTCAGGAGGGTTTTACGTCCTGGGCTCCTTTGGGGGTGTCCCATCTGCGACCTCTGTTCCTGGCGCTCTTTGTGCCAGTCCAAACCGGCTTTCTGTGGTCTCCTTGATTTTTCCCAAAACACACCGGCGAGACTCTGTTATTCTCTTTGCTTTCCTCCGTGCTGGTTTGCTTGTCTTGCTTGTTATGGGCTGGCTGTGCAGATCGGTTCAGCTGAATGTCTCTCTGATGGCTGGTTGGTGGATTCCGGGCCCCCCTCTTTCTTGGCCGGCAGCCGAGAGTCAGATGTGTGCTGTGGCCTTGAGCTGGCGGGAGCCAACGTCTTATCTTTGGGTCTAGCAGAAGTGTGGAGTTAACCCGTTCTCTGCTCTCTTCATCCCTCCTCCCCGCTTTTGGCCTCTCACGACCTGTAAGGGAATCCTTCATTCGTTCCACACTCACACCTTTGACCCTTCCCAAAATGCCCTGCGATGCATGCAACAGCGTTAGCAATATACAATGCTGACCTGCCTCCCCAGGGGGACACCTTCAGGGAGGGGCCATTGGGGTGTGACAGCACGCTGCCCCCTGTGGTCATTGCAGAACATAACTGTCCCTCCTATCAGCCCCCTCCCTGTCCATGTTATGGAAACCAATTACATTCTAGGCACGTCCCATTGTCCTGGCACAACCAAACCCTGGACAATGGGATGTGCTATTGTCCAGGGTTTGGTTGTGCTTTACGTTAAATTTGGGCGACCTAACTCTTACTGGTAGGAGGAGTTCTTGGGCAAATGGACTCAGATGCACAAACTCTCTAATATCTAGGTAGATTTCCTTGGTTCTGAATATCTGAATCTTTCACCTTAAGACAGCGATGGGCAACCCAGGCTAGTGAGTGGGCTGCATGAGTGGGCATCCTTCATCTCCATGGACTGCAACCGACACAGTCTTCTGGGACAGGGTAGTTTTGCTCACTATGCTTGCGCACCTAGAACGTGCAGACTGTGCCGACGAAACTGTAGCAGCGCTGTGATTGTGCAAGCCATACGTTCCCTCTGCATCCAATGTTGTGCCCTATCAACGTGCATCTCCTGTCCGTGCCCTCGCTGGATGTGCGTGTCCCTTAGTGATACCGGTAAGAAAAAAACCGACGTGGGTAGAAACCAGCAGAATCTGGCCACCCTGCAGCAGGCAACGAAACGTCTTGCGGGCCCGCACATAGAGCCCTGATGGACCGCAGGTTGCCCACCACTGGCTTAAGTCACCTCGTTATTTGTAACCTGCTTATCACAGGTCTCTGAGCAGTGGTTAAGGCAGTGCTTGAAGGGTAGACTTGTAGTTTCTCTTCTGCCTATCCCAGGAAAGGGGGAGACCGCTGTCTAAACACTGAGCCATCTTGGCGGAATCACGCATAAAGGTAGAGCACGCGCATGGATTGCTTCTGACTGGTCCTCGTCGGGGAAAGATGGCAGTGGAATTTTTTAGCCTGAAAGTGACCAGGAGTAGTTGGTTGTCAGCCTCTTCAATGAAAGTGACCCTACTAAAGTGGACCTGCCGCCATGACAGCGGAGTGCCGCTCGCAGCCTGCTAGATGTAGCTAAAGGAGGAGCACCGTATCCTTCTGCCTCCCGAAAGCAAGCTAGTTGTGGAGGACCAGTGCCTTGCATTTGGTTACCATTCCGCTGGTCCGGTGCTCTGCAGATCTCCTCTAAATAAGCTGTAATGAGAGGGAAGAAAACGTGCGGGTGCTTTGGAGAGGCAGGACGTTAGAACTTCTAGAAATCCTTATTGGATTACTGCTTTGCCTTCAGATTATTTTGGCGTCTCCTGAGCCTGCTCCGGGAAGGATAGCTTGGAGAACTCTGTCTCCCGAGGATGGTGACTGCAGTAAGCGTTCAGGAATGCTTGTCTTGAGGAAGGACCGAAGAAGAAATACACCAGAGACTAGGAGCAAAGTGCGCTCGTGTTGCATGCACACAGATAGTTTTGTTTCCCTTTTTCTGGTTTAGCCAGTAAGAAATTGCACCCAAAGCAGACTAAAGGCTCGTGCACACGCCCAGCGTAACAGTTTGGCTGTTGGAATCTTAACGTTGATGCTTCCCGACTTCCTCTGAAACCGAAGATTGATGCTATATTTGGGTGCATCTGCTAGTCTGACGTGTAAGACGGCTGCGAAACTACGGGGAGGGGAAAAATCACTTCTTCTGTATCTGAGAACCAGGTTTGTGGCAAATCCTGTCCCATCGTACCAACTAGCGTTCCTGCTGGCGTGGCAAGGCAATTCTGTCACCTTCCTAACTGCTCACGGAGGCAGCATTGTAACTTTCTGTACTCTCGCCTGGCCCGGGAAGCAAGTTGCTGACGCTAACATTCGTGTTCCGTTTCCGGTGCCCGGTTGCTTGAGATGACCAGGCACCATCTCGACAAGACATCGGAGCCACCGTTCACCTCCACTGTAGGCTCGAGTGGGGATTGTGCCTGACACAGGACTCCCCCTTTGGGCTCCCCCAAATTGCTTTTTGAAACCCCTAAGGAACTGGCAGGGAGTGACTAGCTCTGCGATCCCTCTCCTTATGAAAGGCTTCGGGGCTGTGGTCATTCTGCTGCAATTAAACACTTGGATCCCAAGCTGTTTGCTGCCACACTCCTGTCTAAAAAAAGTCTCCAGTGCTTTCCCAGCAGAACTAGTGGTGTGGCTCCAACGCTTGGTGAAGGCCCTTCCTTTGTGGCTCCAACGCTTGGTGAAGGCCCTTCCTTTGATCCAACTGCATCAACAAAATATCAAGCCAAAAAACCCCTTTGTTTGTCTGCTAACCCGTCAGGCCAGAATCAGTTTCGCTTGCCCCATTGGTTAGATGCTTGTGTGATGCCAAGAGGCGGAACCGAACCGGGGATCTCAGGATCTTCATGCAGGAGCCGTTACAGCTTGAGCTAAAAGCCAGCAAGCTGCCCGCAGAAGTTGTAGCGCAAACTCCTCCTCTCTCTCTGTGAGGGGTCTCCGTGCCACTGCATGGGACAGAACCACACCGGAAGGTGTGTGGGTTACACGTACGTTTTCAGAACAAGTGAATGCAGGCAAAGTACAACAAGTCGGCACTTTAGCTGGGGGTGTGGTGGGGGTGCAATGCCAGCCAGTTCAAGCAATAAACATGGCCTCATACAGTCCCTGGTGCTTGCTAGGGTGCTAACCCTGCTGGAGTCCTGAGCCCCCCAGGACCTAAAACTGAAGGCCAATGGAAGCAGTCTGAGACCCTCACCCCTTGCAGCGGGAATCAGCCGCTGTGGGGATGAACAGAGCCGTATTTCTCTTGGCGGCACTTACATACACCCCAGAATCTAGTCCTTGTGGCAGCACTGAACTTGGAAAACGGGACTGGTGTGTAAACCCATGCAGCGATGCAAGAGATGAACTGCCCCAGCTCTTCACGGTTCTGAAACATAAAGTGGATGGGCAGAGGTTTGTTCACACTGGAGAATTGAATGGAGCAGCTATTCCAGAACGTCTAGCCGGGGAGTTATTCCGGACAAGCTGTTGTGCTTTACATTTGCACCCTGCCTTATTCTGGAGTAACTTCCCACGTGTAGACAAATCCGTGAGGTGCCCATTGAAACCATGGAGGCAACATTAAAATATGCTCTCTAACCGTATAGGTCCTGCTCTGTCTATTATTCCTTACACTAGTTAATCCTCTGAAAACCTTTGTTCTTGAAACTTACATAAGACTGCCCCGGCTCTTCAGAGCGAGGTTTCTGCAGGATACAAGACAGGGCGGCAATAGCTGGTGATCTTAATCTGTCTAAACTAGAATCCAACCCCCTAACAGACTTGTAAACCGTGATTTCCTCCACGCCCTGCAGACCTCTGTCACAACAGGGTTATACAACTGGTTGCTACACCACTGGAATGATGCTGAAACAGCTGACTCCGGAAGTGAGGCTGCTCCAGATGGAGCTTGAGAACTGGTGGGGGTTTTTTTTTTCACAATGTAGTTTTTCCATCTCTGCTATGTCTGAAAAATCGTGCGCCAGCATCATTCCTGGAGAAAACCGTGTGTCTGAAATTCCAGCGCTCTGGCACACAAGACTGTCCCTGGAAATAGCCCACTCTTGGTGACTTTGCCATGCGTTATGTGCAGACGAGTCGAAAGTGCTGATTTCCAGATGGTTTCTAAATGATTAAGTCGCACTCGAATCCCAGACCTGCAGTAAAACTAACTTAGATTGGGTGTGTCCAAAATGCATTCAATTCTAATCGATGAACCTTCCCTTTATAAAATTGTGGTCGGTGAGGTTTGGACTAGAAAAATGTGTCCTCAAGAAAGAAGACCATGCACCAAAGACGACTGTTACGCTTTGTGCTATCAGGTAATATTCTATATGGTGCATGGGCACTCTGATGAACCAGTTTAACAGTATGTTGAGAAATGCATGTGCCGTCGGTCTTCTTGGTTGCTAATTTTCACTGTAACGTGAAGCGATTTTGTTTTTAATTAGAAAAAACGTAGTTAAACCCATGCAAAAAGCTGGTGCATGGAGATGAAGACAGACTTACTTTGGTGGAGCTGAAGAAGAGGTTTCAGCTAGTGAAATAGGAGACTCTTGAATCAAAATACGTGATGTAAGATCTGGTTTAATTGGTTAACCGGTTACACGTGTTTAACTAGTTAACCGATTAAACAGAGCAGGCGCGTCTGCTCCAACCCCCATGGATTAACTATAATCGGTAAGCATAACCGGTTAACCAGTCACATCCCTAGTCGGCTCAGGGACTCACACCCGTTTAGCTAAATCAGTGCAAGTTTGCATGTGAGATCCCCCTAGTGCCCAGCCATGGATAATGACGCCCTTCTCCCTCTCTAGTTCCTACAGATGCCGATGGCCCCCTGTACTTGCCCTACAAGAGCCTGGTATCCACCATCAGCAGCATGGTTTTCAGCGAGGGGGAGGCGCAGCAGCTCCTCGAGATCCTGACGGACAAATCAGGCACTCAGGACACCTGGCACACGGTACCGTACCGCTAAGGCGGGCTGCTGGCGCGTGAAGGGAGACCCAGCGGGCGCAGCCTGGCTCTGCGCGTCTCGACCTCCGTTCCCCGGACGCGTTACACTCTCGTGGGGGTGGCCGGCGGCTCACAGCGGGCGCGAGGAACGGAGCTGCGGTGGCTGACGCTGGCAGAGGAGCGGGCCTCCGGCTGTGAATCAGTCGGGTGCCACTCGCAGGCAGAGCAGAGCGCGTTTCTCAGCATTGGCTGGCGCTGGCTGCTCGGAGCACCCGTCTGTTCCAGACACTGGCTGGGGGGGTCCCTGATCTCCAGGGTGACGTAGCGTTAAAGCCTCGGTCTCGTGAAGACTCCTGCATTAGCACAGACCCCGCCCTGGGCCGAGGCGACAGACTCCTGGGTTCCAGAGGAACCGCACTGGGAGAACTCCTCATGTCCCTCAGCCCTGCCCACGTGCCTGGAGATCTTCTGGCGAAAAGTGCGCCGGCAGCGCCGGGTTTGATTCCCGCTTGCCTTGGTGCCTGCAGTTCTAAAGTCCTGCCGGAAAATCCAGCGTGTAGGGCGGGCTCTCTAGCACCCTGCGGGTGACTTCAGCGGAGTCTCGGCAGCCGAGGACCTGGCTCTGGGTTTTCAGCTGTGCGGTGTGGCTGTCCAAATGACCAGCCTTCTGGAAGGGTGAGAAGATGAAGCGAGGGTCCTCTAGAAACCACTTTCTGCATGCTCTGCCCACCCAAGTGTTTGCATTAAGAACATAAGAACGGCCAGACTGGGTCAGACTAAAGGTCCATCCAGCCCAGTATCCTGTCTGCCGACAGTGGCCAGCACCAGGTGCCTCAAAAGGAGTGAACAGAACAGAGAATCAAGTGATCCCTCCCCTGTCACCCATGCCCATCCTCTGACAGAGGCTAGGGACCATTCCTACCCATCCTGGCTAATAGCCATTGAGGGACTTAACCTCCATGCATTTATCTAGCTCTGTTTTAAACCCTGTCCAAGTCCTGGTCTTTGCAACATCCTCTGGCAAGGAGTTCCACAGGTTGACTATGTGCTGCATGAAGAAAAACTTCCTTTTGTTTGTGTTACCTGTTAATTTCATTTGGTGACCCCTAGTTCTTATGGGAACAAGTAAATAACTTAGGGTATGTCTACACTAGCCCCCTAGGTTGAACTAGGGAGGCTAATGTAGGCATTTGAAGTTGCAAATGAAGCCCGGGATTTAAATATCCTGGGATTTATTTGCATGTTCCCGTCTGGTCGCCATTTTTAAATGCCACTAGTCCAGACTAACTGCCCGTGGCTACACGCGGCAATCAAACGTTAACTCAAACTAAGTCCTTAGTTCGAGTTAACTGTTACACCTCGTGGAATGAGGAGTAACAGTAGTTCGAATTAGGATCTTTAATTTGAACTACCTACTTTGTGCCACGTGTAGCCGCGGGCACAGAGTTTGGACTAAGGGGGATTTTAAAATGGCGGCACCTGGGAACATGCAAATGAAGCCCGGGATATTTAAATCCCGGGTTTCATTTGCAACTCCGCTTGCCCTAATTACCCTACCTAGCTCAAACGAACGAGCTAGTGTAGACGTACCCTAAGATAGTCTCTGTCTCATTCTCTATCCCTTTTTTAATGATTCCTAACACTGTTTGCTTTTTTGACTGCCGCTGTGCGTTCTTACTGCGTCTGCTTCTCCACGGTTGCACTTGGCAGTTTGGGCCCAAATTCTTGCTAATCTTTCCTGTGCTGAGGGAAGATCATAGAATCATAGAATACTAGGACTGGAAGGGACCTCGAGAGGTCATCGAGTCCAGTCCCCTGCCCTCATGGCAGGACCAAATACTGTCTAGACCATCCCTGATAGACATTTGTCTAACCTACTCTTAAATATCTCCAGAGATGGAGATTCCACAACCTCCCTGGGCAATTTATTCCAGTGTTTAACCACCCTGACAGGAACTTTTTCCTATCGTCCAACCTAAACCTCCCTTGCTGCAGTTTAAGCCCATTGCTTCTTGTTCTATCCTCAGAGGCCAAGATGAACAAGTTTTCTCCCTCCTCCTTATGACACCCTTTTCGATACCTGAAAACTGCCATCATGTCCCCCCTCAATCTTCTCTTTTCCAAACTAAACAAACCCAATTCTTTCAGCCTTCCTCATAGGTCATGTTCTCTAGACCTTTCATCATTCTCGTTGCTCTTCTCTGGACCCTCTCCAATTTCTCCACATCCTTCTTGAAATGCGGCATCCAGAACTGGACACAATCCTCCAACTGAGGCCTAACCAGCGCAGAGTAGAGCGGAATAATGACTTCTCGTGTCTTGCTCACGACACTCCTGTTAATGCCTCCCAGAATCATGTTTGCTTTTTTTGCAACAGCATCACACTGCTGACTCATATTCAGCTTGTGGTCCACTATAACCCCTAGGTCCCTTTCTGCAGTACTCCTTCCTAGACCGTCGCTCCCCATTCTGTATGTGTGAAACTGATTGTTCCTTCCTAAGTGGAGTACTTTGCATTTGTCCTTATTAAACTTCATCCTGTTTACCTCAGACCATTTCTCCAATTTGTCCAGATCATTTTGAATTATGACCCTATCCTCCAACCCCGCCCAGCTTAATATCATCCTCAAACTTAATAAGTGTACTTTTTATACCAATATCTAAATCATTGATGAAGATATTGAACAGAGCCGGTCCCAATACAGACCCCTGTGGAACCCCACTTGTTATACCTTTCCAGCAGGATTGTGAACCATTAATAATTACTCTCTGAGTATGGTTTTCCAGACAGTTATGCACTCACCTTATAGTAGCCCCAGCTAAGTTGTATTTGCCTAGTTTATTGATAAGAATATCATGCGAGACCGTATCAAACGCCTTACTAAAGTCTAGGTATACCACATCCACCACTTACCGCTTCTCCCTTATCCACAAGACTCATTATCCTATCAAAGAAAGCGATCAGATTGGTTTGACATGATTTGACATGAGATAGGCTTACGAGGTGGCTCGTATCGCTGACACGTGGTCTCTTCTTCACAGGCCACTCAGAAAGGGGACCCAGTTACTGCTCTGAAGCGTCAGTTGGAAGAGAGAGAGAAGCAACTTGCTGCGGAACAAGAGGATGCATCTGCTGCCAAAAACAAACTGAGGGAGCTAAGTAAGGTGAGGACAGGTCAGTCTCCTACCCTCCCTGGGCCTGGACTGCTGGCTTTCTCCAGCTTCCTCTGTAGGGCTCCCCTGCTGCCTGAGTTCCACGGCAGGATCGCAGATCGAGCTGTCTGCCATGGGAGATTCTTCAGAGCTTGTTTCTGGTGTCGACGCGGCTTCTGTGCGAGGCACGTGGCTGGGGTGGATGCTGCTTCTGTGCGAGGCACGTGGCTGGTGTGGACGCTGCTTCTGTGCGAGGCACGTGGCTGGACTGCTGACTCATATTCAGCTTGTGGTCCACTATAACCCCTAGGTCCCTTTCTGCAGTACTCCTTCCTAGACCGTCGCTCCCCATTCTGTATGTGTGAAACTGATTGTTCCTTCCTAAGTGGAGTACTTTGCATTTGTCCTTATTAAACTTCATCCTGTTTACCTCAGACCATTTCTCCAATTTGTCCAGATCATTTTGAATTATGACCCTATCCTCCAACCCCGCCCAGCTTAATATCATCCTCAAACTTAATAAGTGTACTTTTTATACCAATATCTAAATCATTGATGAAGATATTGAACAGAGCCGGTCCCAATACAGACCCCTGTGGAACCCCACTTGTTATACCTTTCCAGCAGGATTGTGAACCATTAATAATTACTCTCTGAGTATGGTTTTCCAGACAGTTATGCACTCACCTTATAGTAGCCCCAGCTAAGTTGTATTTGCCTAGTTTATTGATAAGAATATCATGCGAGACCGTATCAAACGCCTTACTAAAGTCTAGGTATACCACATCCACCACTTACCGCTTCTCCCTTATCCACAAGACTCATTATCCTATCAAAGAAAGCGATCAGATTGGTTTGACATGATTTGACATGAGATAGGCTTACGAGGTGGCTCGTATCGCTGACACGTGGTCTCTTCTTCACAGGCCACTCAGAAAGGGGACCCAGTTACTGCTCTGAAGCGTCAGTTGGAAGAGAGAGAGAAGCAACTTGCTGCGGAACAAGAGGATGCATCTGCTGCCAAAAACAAACTGAGGGAGCTAAGTAAGGTGAGGACAGGTCAGTCTCCTACCCTCCCTGGGCCTGGACTGCTGGCTTTCTCCAGCTTCCTCTGTAGGGCTCCCCTGCTGCCTGAGTTCCACGGCAGGATCGCAGATCGAGCTGTCTGCCATGGGAGATTCTTCAGAGCTTGTTTCTGGTGTCGACGCGGCTTCTGTGCGAGGCACGTGGCTGGGGTGGATGCTGCTTCTGTGCGAGGCACGTGGCTGGGGTGGATGCTGCTCCTGTGCGAGGCACGTTTCTGAGCTGCACTGTGGTAGTGCCAAGGGAAAGGGAGTGGGATCCCATTGTGCTCGGTGCTGTACAAGCCGAACAAAAACACGTTCACCGTGGAAGTCTGTGTAACGGAGCTCTGGGGAGCCAGAAAAAGGCCGTCTGCAAAATTCCCATCGATGTTGTGGGGAAATTCTTCCGTGGATCCAAGGCCGCTTTGTGAATGATCAGTGTAAAACTACTGAGTGCACCCTTGGCCTTTTTCCCTGGAGGGAGGCTGCTTTTTAAATCCAAGTGAGTTGAAGTCATTTGGTTAAGCTGAGTTGCATGGAAGCCTCCCTCCGCAATCAGCCGTGATCGAAAATTCTAGCGGTGGCTTTTGATGCAGATATTTTCCGAGGCTGTGCAGTTGATGGGGACCAGAACACGTCCAATCCGGTCACCTCTCCTAGGCTCTAAAAGTTGCACTATGTAATAGCAAGGCAGGTTATTGGCCAGAAGGGGAAAAGGGTGTGTGTGGGGGTTGGGGGGAATGGAACACGTCTGTGTCCATCTTAATCTCTTTTTTGGCAAAAGGTGCACATGAGAATTTCAGTGAGTGTCTTCATTGTCATGTGCTGGGGGGAAGGGGGAAGTGTCCCTCTGATGTCACGCTACCCTCACTGGGACTAAACACCAGCTCCTCCTGCCCCAATTCATGCTGACAGCCGTTGAGTGACCCTTTACAGGCTAAAACGTGATCTGGAGCTGGCTTAAGTGTGGGGAACTCCAGAAATCACATGAGCGACAATTCTCCTCTTTGGTTGTCCTTCATTAGCTGCTCACCATGCAAAGACTCTCTTATCCCATCCTAGATGAGGTCATTCATCTGACTGTCACCTGTGTGAATTAATGGAGCACAGTGTTAGGCCTCAGTTGGAGTGTTGTGTCCGGTTCTGAGCACCACTTTGCAAGAAAGATGTGGAGAAATTGGAGACGGTCCAGAGAAGAGCAACAAAAATGATCTACGAAACATGAGTTGTGAGGCAAGGCTGAAAGCAGTGGGCTTGTTTAGTTTACAAAAGAGAAGACTGAGAGGGAACATGAGCAGTTTTCAAGTATCTAAAAGGGTGTTCCAAGGAAGAGAGAGAAACATTTGTTCTCCTTGGCCTCTGAGGATAGGACAAGAAGCAAAGGGCTTTTGCAGAAAGGGAGGTTTAGGTTGGACATTAGGAAAAACTTCCTAACTGCCAGGGTGGTTAAACACTGGAATAAATTTCCCAGGGAGGTTGTGGAATCTCCATCCCTGGAGATATTTAAGAGCAGGTTGGACAGGCATCTATCAGGGATGATATAGATGGTGCTTGGTCCTGCCATGAGGGCAGGGGACTGGACTCGATGACCTCTCGAGGTCCCTTCCTGTTCTAGTGTTCTATGATTCTATGACAATGGTGTATTGAAATAACAAAAGAACAGTCGTGCTGTCTTCTGGCGTGGCTTTCCTGCTCTCTCTCTCTCTCTCTCTCTCTCTCTCTCTCTCTCTGTCTGTCTCTGTGTGTGTGTGTGTGTGTGTTCTGGAAAAATTCTAGGGTGTCTTACTCCTCTCTCTTAGCTGATCAAATGCTGAACAATAGTGTTATCCAGCGGCCACAGCACTCAAAACAAAAATCAGAATCAAATGTTAAGTTTTTGTTGGAGCTGAATAATTCAGATCGGCCATGCTGGCGAGGGCTGTGTTAGCACGGAAATGCTCTGTCCTTTCACAATATAATTGTGGAACGTGGGACTTGTCGACACTACATGGGGGATCGATACCGCAGCGATCGATCCACCAGCCGTCGATTGATTATGTCTGCTTAGACGCGATAAATCGACTTCTGAGCGCTCTCCCGTCGACACTGATGCTCCACCCTGACGAGAAGGGTAGCCGGCATCGATGGGAGAGCACCCCCCACAGCCCTGACCGCACTCAAGACGCTGCAGGAAGTCTGCTAGCCCCCGCCGTCGCTCGAGTCTACGTGACTTCCGCTGCGATGGCAGGGGTCAGAATAGACCATGGTTGGGACGGATCTTTGAAACAAACAAAAAGTTGCCGATCATGAAAAGCGTCTCCTCTTCCTGAAGGAGCTTGCGGCGGAGAAGGCGAAGACCGTGGCTGTTGAAACCAAGTGGAAAGAGCAGCTGCTGGTGCGTGACCAAGAGATGATCGCCGTGCAAGCTCGCATGCAGACGAGTTACCAGGACCATGTGAATGAAACCCAGCAGTTGCAAGGGAAGGTAGGAGACTGCCGTTTATGCTTCTGAACGCAGATGCCTAGTGGACGTAGTCTGGCAGCACCGGGAGCAGAGCTGGGCTTGCAGGGCTGTTTCCTTGGCGGCGTAAAGTAAACTTAATTCCAAACCCCAGAGGGACCCAACTCCCTGGGCGGTGGGCAGTGTAGGCAAGGGAAGGCATAGCCTTCCCAAAACTGCCTGCATGCCCCGGCCACCGGGGGGGATGGGGCAGTGGTGCGGCAGCCCTGCTCCCTGGCTGCTGGGGAGTGCTGGAGGTGGGGTCACAAAATGGCAGCCCCAGCCCTCTAGGTGGCCAGGAAGGATCGGGCTTCAGGGTTGGGCTTGGCACCACTGGAGGAGGCTGCTGAAGGGGCGAGGCTGGGGCTTGCCTTCCCCTGCTGGGCCTTCCCCTGCTGCCCATGCCTCCCTCCCTTCCCCAAAGCAGCGACCAGCTGAGCGTTGTCGGGAATGTGCTTCGAGGGGAGTGCCCTGCCGCTCCCTCGTGGATTTCGGGATGAACCGATTTGGAGGCCGGAAGGGACCAACGTAACTTTATAAAGCTCTGAAGCTGGAGAAAGTGGCGTCCCGTTGTCCCTCCTGCCACCTCCAAAAATAGCCTTCCCCGTCAATGAATGGGGGCGGAGAGGTGACTCGCAGGGACTGTCTAAGAGGGGGATCTGGTCACCGCATTTCCCCCTCCCCCGTGGTGTCGGGGCATGTCCCCCGCTTTCTCAGATGCTGCCTTTTGGGCTCTGCGTTGGGTTCTAAGCCGTCTGGTGCAAGGTGCAATACAAAGGGAAGTCTCTTTAAGAGGGCCGGGTGTAGCGGTGGGGAGAGGGCACGTCTGCATGAAGCCAGGCTTTTGCCATAGTGTGCAAGGGGGAAAAAATCATGTGTGTGACTTTAAATAAAGGACAGTTGTTGCTGGAGCCTTGCTGGAGCCTGCCTGCCCTGCAGACCAGGGGTGGGCATTAATTTTTGCAGGGGGGCCACTTCATAAATTGTGGAGTGGTCGAGCGCCAGCTCCGCCCCCAGAAAGGGCGGAGCCTTGGGCAGGAGGGGCGGGACCTTGGCAGAAGAGGGGGTTCCCTCTAGGCACTGTGTGTCCTTGGTGGGGGAAGGGGACTTGGCGTGCTCCCCCACCCCCAGACCAGTTGGCATTAAACACCTAGAGGGAGCCGCCAGCTGTTTTAAACAACGAATGACTTGGTGAGCTCCCCCGCCCCCAGGGCTCCATTGGCCTGGGGACGGGGGCGTGGCAGGGCAGCCGTGGGCCGGATCAAATGGTTTGGCAGGCCGGATTCAGCCCGTTAGACTGACTTTCTCGCTCTTCCAGATACGGACTCTTCAGGAACAGCTCGAGAACGGCCCCAGCACCCAGCTCGCTCGCTTGCAGCAGGAGAACTCCATCCTACGGGACGCTCTGAACCAAGCCACCAGCCAGACGGAGAGCAAGTAAGAGCATGTGTGTTGGTGACTCCACGGGTCGTTCCAGGTAGCTTTTCTACACTGTCTTCCTCCTCGCTCCCAAAAACCCACCCCTCCACCACCCCACGGCACAGCCAGTTCCCAGGAAAGTAAGGCACGCTCCAAGCTCCCCCTTCCCTCTGCCAATTGGACCTGGCTGCAAGCTTCCTGTTGAATCATCATCTGTCTTGGGACAATCCAGGGTTTTTTTTAGATGACTCTGTTTTCCTGAGAAAAGTGTTAGTTTGGGGGTGTGCTGAGAGGTGCGGTTTGGGGGTGTTCAGTCAGTGTTTTCAGCTGGAAAAGCACATGATCACTATTTTCTTCCACTATTTGATCTGAGGAAGTGGGTCTGGCCCACGAAAGCTCCTCACCTAATAAACCATCTTGTTAGTCTTTAAAGTGCTACATTGTCCTGCATTTTGCTTCATGATCACTGTGGAACTTCATGAGAATTGTAGTTCAGGCAACCCTGCTCACGCACAACCTCCTCTTGCTGGGAAGAGAAATTGACACCGCAGACAATGTAGGGAGCATGGCCGAGGCTGGAAAACGTGAACGTGGAGTATCTAAACTACAACTTCCATGAGGCACCAGAGCAGCATTTCAGAATCTAAACATTTTTTTTTAATTAACCCCCTTCAGCCTTCTGTAGGTGGGAACCCATTTTGCACCCAGCTTTATTACTGTCATGTTGCAAAATCCATGCCTGCATGAACCCCGTTCTAGTTCTGGAACAGATTGCTAATTCTGAATTATGGGGCAGTTCAATGGTGATGTAAATGGTAGAACTCCTTTGCCTGATCTATCCAGGTCTTTATTTGAGCCTATCTATATAGCACTCAAGAATTGTGACGGGGCTCTTTGTGTTTGCGGGGCTAAGAATAGCTGGGGATAGAAAAATTATCCAGAGTCAAGCTTTATAGTTTCACAGAAGAACATAAGAACAGCCATACTGGGTCAGACCAAAGGTGCATCTAGCCCAGTATCCTCTCTGCCGACACTGGACACCACCAGGTGCCCCAGAGAGGGTGGACCAAAGACGATGATCAAGCGATTTGTCTCCTGCCATCCCTCTCCAGCCTCTGACAAACAGAGGCCAGAGACATCATTTCTATCCCCTGGCTAATAGCCTTTTATGGACCTAACCTCCATGAAATTATCTAGCTTCTCTTTAAACTCTATTATAGTCCTAGCCTTCACAGCCTCATCTGGCAAGGAGTTCCACAGGTTGACTACACGCTGTGTGAAGAAGAACTTCAAGTCCGGAAGGGATACTGGTTTGGCAAACTACATGTTTTGTTTAGTGCCTATATACTAAATTACACCGTTCAGTTTCACTCTTTGCTCTGCAGTATCTATCTAACCTAGAGCAAACCTACTCTAGTTAATGATCTACCCTAATTTAAAATAACATTGCATACATGATTGATGGAAAATCTTGTCCTTCCGCATTTAGTTTAAAAAACTTCCACATTTTGTTTGGCTGTGGAATAAGAGAAAACAAAGAGCCAGTATAGAGAAACAAGAACTAGCCAGTGCGTAGGAAACAAATATCTATTTAAAATAAGAGATTATTGAATATTTTGTTTTATATGTAGGAAACAAATATCTATTTAAAGAGATTATTGAATATTTTGTTTTATATAAAAAAGCTTTAAAGTCATTGGAGACAGAACTCCAAATGTTCAGAGAACTTCCTTTTTCTGTCTGGACGCATAAATCCTCAGATTTTTACAGTCTAAAAATGAAAGATATTTTGGCCTTGGAAAGGGTTCAGAAAAGGGCAACTAAAATGATGAGGGGTTTGGAACAGGTCCCTTATGAAGAGAGGCTAAAGAGACTGGGACTTTTCAGTTTAGAAAAGAGGAGACTGAGGGGGGATATGATAGAGGTCTATAAAATCATGAGTGGTGTGAAGAGGGCGGATAAAGAAAAGTTATTTATTAGTTCCCTAAATATAAGAACTAGAGGACTCCAAATGAAATTAATGGGTAGCAGGTTTAAAACTAATAAAAGGAAGTTCTACTTCACACAGCGTGTAGTCAACCTGTGGAACTCCTTGCCAGAGGAGGCTGTGAAGGCTAGGACTATAATAGAGTTTAAAGAGAAGCTAGATAATTTCATGGAGGTTAGGTCCATAAAAGGCTATTAGCCAGGGGATAAAATGGTGTCTTTGGCATCTGTTTGTCAGAGGCTGGAGAGACAGGCTACTGGGCTAGATGGACCTTTGGTCTGACCCAGTAATTCTTATGTTCTTATGTTGAAACCCCATCTTTTGACCAGTTGATTTTTAATTTTACTGAGTCTCCAGTGCAAAAGTGCTGCTGCTAAAGAACTGCTGTCCTGTGTAGGAAATTGCTTATTTGGGGAAGCAGGAAAATGACACCTCTCTAAATATTTGCCTCTTATGTAATGCAGTAAAAATATGTTTTGAGTATATGGGGGACTGGAACCATTTTTATAGTGGGAGTGCTGAGAGCCACTTAAACTAAACTATAATCCCTGTCTATAATGGAACCCACTTCAACTCCTAGTTTCCAGCACCTAAGCAAATGTAGGGCTAAGGCGTATGAAATAACTCGGGTCCTGCTAAGCTGGAATTGTATGAGAGTCGGTACACAAATGTCATTGGTCGGTCTGTCTGTCTAGGCAAAATGCGGAGCTAGCCAAGCTGCGGCAAGAATGCAGTAAACTCACCAAAGAGCTGTCTGAAAAATCTGAGACGCTGCAGCAGGAGGAGCAACAGAAAAAGAACCTGGAACTAAAGGCTGCCGCGTACGAAAAACAAATCAACCAGCTACAGGTCAGCACTGTGCCGACAAGCGGCCCTTTCGTTTGGCTGCTAATCATGTCGCTTTCTTCGTTGACGCATCTGGCTTTATTGTAGCCACTGCTTGCTCAGGTGATCTGGTCGTCAGGCATCAGATTGGGTGTCCGGAGAGCTAGCTGTTTGACCTTGAGCAAGTCGTGTAAAGCTCTGTGCCTCAGTTTCCCCTCTGTAAAGCAGGGATAAAACTTAGGCAAAAGATGGCATCTGTTCAGAACCCAGTCTGGTTGGGCAGCACATGGCACCACAGGGTCCCAATGAGGTTGTGCAGCCGTGGGAGCTATTCCATGTGGAGCTCGTTGGAAGTGTGTTGATGGAATGTCTGTCAGTCGAAATATCGATTAGCCAAATGGAAATTTGGGGAAAAGGATGTTGAGTTTTTTTCCACTGAGGTGGGGGGTGAGGACACGGTCCAAACTTTGTTACGTTTTAGAGATGAAACATTTCGAGGTCCAAATGGCTGGTTTGAAATGTAAGCTAATGGACCTTAAAAAACAAACAAAGAAACCAACCCAAAAGCAAAACAAAACACGTCAATGGACATGAATATTTTGGATTTTCAGCTCCTGAAAATGTGGGGCTGATTTTTTTATTTCTTTGTCATAGTTCGGGACAGAAACCTGTTCGCTGACTGCAGGTTTGTGTGGGACGGGGAACCGTTTCCTGCCCAGCTATTTCTTTGTCGTAGTTCGGGACAGAAACCTTTTCGCTGACTGCAGGTTTGTGCGGGACGGGGAACCGTTTCCTGCCCAGCTGTCACTGCTGAACACATCGCTAATAACATGGAATGTTCAGACTATGAATTAATTAAAGGCGTCTTAATACTAGGGAGTGTCATGCTGAGCCCATTGCTTGCTGAAAAAACAACCTCTTCGCATCCCTGGCTGTCCCAATGTTAGCCCACGCGGCATATGCTTACAACATACAGGATATATTGCCTCCTCAACAGATGCTCAAAAGGCTTTACAAAGCAGGAAGTTGGCCTCCATGGAAAATTCCTTCCTGACCTCATTGCCCCAGAGGCCGGCTCACACCCTGAAGCATGAGGGTTTATAACCCTGCCTAATCTCTTGCTTGGTTTTTAAAATAACGCTGCGTCTTCTCAGCCGCATAAATGTCTAACCCAGCTGTGCGGCTGCCAACTGCGGCTTCAGCACAGAGCAGGTGAAAGTGACACACGGCTCGGGCGCTCTAGGCTTGCCCCCGGCTTGATAACAGGCGCATCATAAAAATAGTTCAGCCCTGAAACTTACTGGCAACGGGAGTCTGGTGTGAGGAGGTTCATGATAGGAAATGCCCCAGATGCTCCCACAACAGGGACCTTGCCCCCTCCCTCCGCTCTGTTATTGCGTGTTTACCTGCAGATCAGCAAAAGGTGCTTTTCCAAGATGGAGGGGCAACGGGATTTTTTTGGTTCTGTTGGTTGGATTTTTTTTTTTTTTTAAATTTTCAGGTGGTTTGTTTTCATAGGCACCTTGTGGTAGCACCCACTGTCTCTCTGTGCCCCAGCCCAGCTGTGGGTTGCTAATTGAGGTGCTCCGTCATACTCCTTCCCTGTTTCTCTGCGTGGCCCCCGCATCCCAACCTCTCAGAGGTACTAGTGGCTTATGTTTGTATGTGTTACCCCTTGAGAGGTGCTTATCCCTTGAGGGTTACCACTGCGGTGCTGGGTGTCCACGTAGGAGCTATGGTCCGTGGCCCACAGCTGTGGACCCGGTGGGCAACCAAGGAAGCAAGCTTGGTGGAGTTGGATTAAGTGGGAGACTTGCGGTACCTCTGCGTCCTCAAATGTCTCGATGGCCTGGGAGGGAGTGAGGCCGAGCATCCTGATGAGGCTGTTGCTGTCTCCTGCAGTGATGGTGGCAGGAGAGGGAGCGAGGCTGAGCATCCTGACGAGGCTGCTGCTGTCTCCTGCAGTGATGGTGGCAGGCGTTCAGCGAGACCAGGCAAACCCAGCTCCGTGGCATCGGAGAGCCGTGTCGCGTCCCCGGGTTCACAGCACCCTCTGATGCTCAGTCGAGAGGAGGCCGGGCGGGGGGGTTCTGTCTCCCGAAAAGGCTCCTCCTAGGACACGTAAAAAGCACGTGCGCGTACGTTGAACTGGGCGTTCCCGGGGCTGTGGCCTGATGGATGGAGACAGGGAGAGGGTCAGGCCGCAGGCGTGCCGGGCTGAGGGCCAAGCGGTTGCCAGAGAAACGCAGGCCTCTTGGCCTGTAGCATGGTCGAGACAGAGCGTTGCTACGACTCTACCGCCTCCTGCGCCCGTTAATGAACTAATGGGCACCTGGCTGAAATATTTGAAATATTTCCATCACCATCAACCTGCATCACCAGGTAGCCTTCAATGAGGGTCTCTATAGGGA